ATCGAGGAGGTCTTGTTGCTGAATATTAAAAACATGCTGTTGACCAGCGGTCGTGCCTTCTAACATGCGTAAGACACCATCAGCCTTAAACATTGTCATATTATTAATTAGGATCATCATGTTGAAACTAATACTCTAAAATCACTGTATTTTTCACTTACCCTTGCGATGCCAATTCGATCCCCGTAGCGTTTTTTTTCGATCGTTGTCCAGAAATTGTGGACATTCCCAGAAGATCTCTCATTCTTTTATAGAAAAGAAAACAAATATTAGTACAAGTAAAATTGCTGTGAGTGGTTAACCAAAGAAGAAGCCGAAAGGAAGATAAAAGAGATTAATGAGGCGTATGCAGTCTTGAATAATGAAGATAATGGGAGGGATAATTCCAACATTGACGAGGACGCAAAGTTAAATAACCTATTTTTGAAACTACCCGTATTATTGACGAATCAAAGTGGACCATAACATAACACGAAGTCTGACAACCAGTTGGGACGAACCCATCCAGTTGCGTTATGGCAATAACGCGAAGTCTATTCAAGGACGCCTGAGGGAAGACGAACTCCACTCTCACCCGCCAAGCGAATTCAGCTGGCTACTCAGGGTTTGTCAATACATCACGTATTTGTCTCGGGACCGGAATGTATCCAAGTCCTTGAACCCAACCATGACTCGTCTACTTTAATCGCTAATAAATATATACTTAACCTCAAAATTAAGAAGACACTTTCGAGCTTGATCGTGATCTTTGGATAACAAATTCAGAGCACTCTTGTATAACATATGCTCTTTCACTTTGTCGTATGTGAAATCGTCTACACCCTCTCTGTACTGGAGAAACGAAAATAGTGACCAAGTCGAACTACTCTTGAAGAACTGTTCTATTGTTTCATGCACCTGAGGTGGTATTTGTGACATTTTTTAGAGATTAGCTTAAAAAACGGAGGTTCGACTTTATATCGCAAAATATTAAGAATATTAATGTAATACCCCTTGATAAAGTTGGTGATATAATGTCACAGATCATAACGTGACATATTAAAATATGATATAAGCAAGAGAAAAAAATTCTCACGCGTTCAAATACCTTTTATTGCAACAACTCAGAGTTCGCGTTAAACAATAATTAAAAATGTCTATAGTTATTAATGAAGAGGATATTGTTTATGAAGAAGACTTAAATATGGAGGTACTTTATTATTATCATGTTTACTTTATAGATATATATGAAATAATAAAAAATATTGTTTGATTTAGTTAAATAATACAACACTTGATTTGGAGGAAGACACTGAAATATATATTACGAAACAAATAACCATTAAAACTGTATTGCATTCATTAACTCCTATTGAATATCCACCAACAAGCAAAGATGGAGTTGCGATAGTTTATGTTGAAGGGTGGCAAGATGTAAACGCGGCATTTGCAGATGTAAGTATTAAATAAAATAAAATAATTTACTAATATTTATTTTTTTTAAGATTCAGTATCCTATGGACTTAAAATATGTGAATTTGCAAGTCCAGAACTTCAGGAAATGGAACACGAGTCTGTAGATCCTGATTCTGATTTATGCCTAAAAGTGAATGAGTAGAAAATAATACTTTTGCGTAAATAATTTTAAATTAATTTAAAATTGTGTAACTTGTACATTTAACTAGCTAAAATTTTTTATTTAGTATATATTTGTCAGCAATTCAAACTGAAAAAGGATAACATAAAATGCCTGTATTAAAATGTCTAAAGCGTCATGATGAAACAATACCACCATCTTATTTTATTGGTTGTGATAGATGGAATTTCAATGAAAAGTTTTACCGGTATATATGTATTAAAGAAAATGTTGACCTTAATTTATTTCAACAACTTTAAGTGGATTATATGAGGTTTAATTTTTATCTTTCTAATATATTTTGTACTTTATAAATTTATTAACTTCAGTTAAAAATATAATTTATTTTAGGGTGAAACAGACGAACCAGTAAATAACTGTTTATAGTATTAAGTAATAGCTCTAAAAAAAACTTTGTCGTAAGTTATTATTAAATTCAATTACTAGTTATAATCCTTTTAAAGTTATTAATTAATTATCTATATATAATTTTATTTTTTTAATAGCTTATCCTCATCATGTGGAAATACTATTAAATGTGAATCAATTATTCAAAAATCTTATAATGTTAAATTTAGAAAAATGCCCATTTGAGCATGACTGAATTTCTTTATAATTGGCTGTTATTTGATAAACAAACACTAACTGTGATTGGTCAGATCAAATTTAACAACTTGAAAAATAAGTTTATTATCTGCATAATGAGTTGCATACTTGAGTTTTTTTTTTAGTTTTAATTTTTTTAACGAGTTTTTTTTACATAATATGTATAAAACTAAAAATTTTAGGCTCTGCTCTATTATGAATTGTACGCGTTTAAATGTTAAGTTTTGTCTTATTATGAAATTTGCATATGATAAATACTATAAGAACAAAATGTTACAAACGTACTCTTATCTTGAAGTAGGAGGACAATTATGTCACCCGCATTATTGCAGTATAGTAGAGGTTGAAAGGAAACAACGAAGAAAACAAAAATATATATGAAAAAGATTAATAACTTAATAAAATAAAGAAGTATTAGAATCGATAGAGCTTAATAATAATAGTATCAAACCTAATGATAATACAGGCAAGTATTTAGTTGTAATGTTTTATATAAATATTTTTATTAACTTAAAAGTTCTAACTGTTAAAATTTCACGTTTGCTTCAAAAATTCAAACATTAACAAAAGTACTATATCGTCAGCATTATTAAGAGTATGCAATTTAGAATTGGATTTGTTAAGATTTAAACGTATGATTGAAGATGCTAATTCTCAACTCAAAGACTTTTTTAATTATATGATAAATTTGGTCATTCCTAAAGAACGTTCTGCATACAATATAAATGAAGTAAAAAAGCAATCATTAGACTATATTATACAATAACGGGTTTGCAAAATAAATTTATTAATTAATATAAATTAGAAGTTAGTTTGTATTTAATGGCGTCAGGTGTAACATGAGAAACTGTTGATATAATGTTGAATCTTAAGTATTTAGCATATGCTAAAACAGTGAATGAATTTCACAAAAAGGTCTAAAAAGAATATATATTAAAGATTGAACAACACTTTATAGAAAATGTATATCTTAAATTATAATTAATAAAAGAATAAAAAAATAAAAGAATAAAAAAAAATAAAAATAAAAAGAATGAAATAAAGAAAAAAATAAAAATAAAAGAAATAAAAATTAAAAAAAATTAAAAAAAATGTACAAAAAATAAACAATAATTTATTTTTTATTAGCGAGATGTGTTTCATATTTATAACATAAATGATTACCATGCAATTCATGAAATTCGCAGACTAGATACAGTTTCAACTTCAGCAGTGAAATATTTTGTTACATACGTAGCAAAACCTGTCACAGGTTTTCAATTTGTACCACTTACTTTTAATGGCAAATCAATTCATAATCTATCTAATGTAGAATCATGAAGAATTAACTGGTATTTGATACGAAAATATAGTAGAGTATTTAATACCTCGTATTTAGATCATCAAACATTTTGAGTTTACAAAGACAATTAAATATTAATAATCGAATTGAAGTATTGACGATACACATTTATAATGATAATATTATAGAGTGAAAAGATGAACGATCTACAAAGAATCTTCAACTAGTTGGATTTAAAGAGCAATATTTACATTCAGTTTAAGATTATGTTAATGCTTTAAAACTTATTTTATTTATAAATAATAAAGCAAAGCATTTAGATAATCGAGTTACACCAATTGTTGCTGATTGGCCTGATCAGATATTTATTTGAAAGACATTATATACAGAAGGATTATCTTATGAAGTTGAAGTATTTCTACCTATTTTAAGTCTGCTCTATGTGTCATTAAATAGCCATGAACAAGTTTTATTAATGTATCATCCTCTTTTTGAAAACCTATTCTATTTCATATTTGGTAAGCGTAAAATGTTAGCAAAAAAACCCTATCTATAGAGGATAAATTTCTTGTTAAAACTTGTATGAGAAGGCTAGATTAAGATTAAAACAAAAGTAATAGATAAATTTGAACAAACCTATAAAGATATTGAATACTGAACTACGATTGATTTACTTAATAACTTAGTTCTAGCAGTGCTCAATATATACGCAATTCTATTTCAATCATGCTCATTTGATGAATATGTAGAAACAGTTTTTAAAATATGAACATTTGCTTTGCGTTAGAAATGAAAAAACTATAATAAAATATCTTTAATATTTTTGTCAGATTTGTTTTATTAGAAGGATAATAATTATCCTTTCTATGAAATAATTAAGACATATTTGCCAAATTTTAATGATTATTATGTGAAAAATATACATAGTCAAATTTAAGCAAATACTTCATCAAATTTAACAACTGATAGCATTATAATGTAGGCCTATGTTATCAGTAATATTAGTGATATTTTAATGTTAATTATTTAATAAAATTATTTTATCTATTTTATTTACTAATTTCTAGTGAATCATGACCTTACGTTTAAAATATGTATTGCAAAACAAGACGATATCCATATAGTATTAGAACGCTTAATTTTCTATCAAATAAAGCCAGCCTTTTTTTATTATAATACTTTCAAGAAATGTTTTATAATCGCAGACGAAGTGGGCCAAAATTCAATAAAAAAGCCAATAAAAAGAAACTTCCAAAAATTTATCAGCTTGTGATCTTAAGAAAAGAGGTAGACTTATGGTCTTTACTAATAGGATATAGCATATCATGTCTACTACAACCTGGATTATGTGATCAATGCAAACTTCTATTTATTAATGATAATGGTACAGTGTTTATCTGTGATCATACCTATTATTCAGATTGTTATTACGAAAGATATATTTATTGTGAGAAATTTTACAAAAAAAAAGTGATTAAAATATTGAATCATTTTTAAAGCGAATTGAAAAATCAGCAGATGCATTTATCTTAGAGGATCTTATTGATAATAATACAAAGATGGAAATAAAAGAGAAAGATGAGAATGATTCTGGAGAGATAGATAAAATATTAAATATTTTATCTAAACTTATAATAGAAATTAATCAAATAGAAAGTTGGTAATATGTAAAAATAAAAAATGATAAATGTATACTAACTGTGAATTTTTTTCTAATAAATATGTTAATTATATAAAAATATCTCTAATAAATATATAAATATTACGTAATATGAGAAAACATGTCTAGTAAAAATCATGCAGGTTAAGAGATCTCAGAGATAGGTTACCACATTCTATCGTAAAGTAAGTGAAAAACAATCTAGTAAAATTTTTTTTATGACAATCATAATTGTTTTTAAGGTATCACCATATGATACTTCTTTTCAGCATATGTATTCTTATATAAAAATTTTGTATAACATTTATGCATAGATAGAAATTCAGTTATGCTGCCCATTTGTAATTTTGATATCTCAAGGTATTCATTCTCATCTACCATCATCGTCCAACTATGTATCAATTTCTATTCATATTCATTTATAAGAACTAATTCAACAAGTAGATGCTAATACTATAAATATTACACTAACTCATATATTAATTGGTAATTGATGATATAAATACAATTTTTAAAGTTAGTACAAATATTTATAATAAATAATGATAATTAAATTTTAATTTTATATTTTTTAGGAAATTTAATTAAAACTTATTTCAGAATTAAATATCTTGCAGATGTTCATGCTTTTCTAAATAATGCAGATTATCTTTGATATTATGTAGATAAATTTTAAAAAGAAATCCATCCACAAGGTCATGGTCCTTTAAGAGTTATATATAATTATTTACGTAATATTGATAATTTTTGTGAATATGTAAAGTGTTTAGATAAATATATATAATATATATAATTATATTCTTTATAAGATTGATTAATTATTAATATATCAATATTTTTTACTAGAATTTTTGAAGATAATCATATAATGATTATCTGTACTACACCTGAACAATTATCTGAATAGACAAAATGTAAACACTTTTAAATAGATCTTTCTTTTAAATGTGTTGCAGGTAAAATTAACGAATTTGAGATTAATTATTATAACCCTTAATATAATCTAAGTATAATTTATTTTTGTTTATTACAAAATTTATTAGTATAAAAAAATCTTATAATATTAGTTTTTATATTTTGGTTTTTATAAATTGTAGTTTTAAATGCTAACTAATTTGATAATTTTATATTTTTAATTTTTACTTTTGTTTGTGTATTTACTAATTATGTAACAACAGTTGCATATCAGAGGATTTTTTGTATTTTATTTGATTTAATACTTCAATTAACAGGTTTAGCATCTCAATTTATGTATATTTATAAAAAAGGTTGAAGTTGTATTATGCAGATCTGAATTATACACAAGTACAAGGTCTAAGATTAGTTTTAAATGAAATAGACAAAACAAGAAATTGGAAAGAATATTTAGTTTATTTTTTAAAATCCTGTAAAGTATATTATAAAAGGTAAGTAAATAAAATTGATGTTTTTAATTTAATAAAATAATTTAATGAATTTTATTTTTATTTTAATAATAGGAAAATCAGAGAAAAACTATATAATGATATTATAAAAAATAATATGTATGCAATTCTAACAGCTGAATTAGAGGATACAATCAATCATTTATTTGATAATATTCAAAAAATTGATAAAAATACTATTAGTTAGTAGCAAATTTTTTAGATTATTAAATAAAAAATTTTTTTTATAAATTATTATTCTTATATTTATTAGATTGGATTTCATTTTATCATCAAAAGTGAGTTATTGCATCACTTAATAAGTGTATATCAAAGATTGACAATAACATTTAGTTAATATCTTCTGATAATACTAATACTGCTGAGACCGTCCATATCTTAAGCAACCATCATGAAAAAAATCTCAAACTAGTAATAGTTATTTTACAGTATGTATTAATGCAATATATTAAAAAAATTTTAATTTTTTATGTAAATTTTAAATTTATTAATTTATTAATATGCATAGAGGAAGAAAATTAGATAGAGAAAGATTCAATGCAATTCGTATTCATAAAAATTCAATATACCTACTGAGGATAGAATAAAGGTCTAATTGCTCATAATATTCTATCTAATAAATATCAAGGTAAATTAGAATATTATAAAAATATGTAGCACTGATGTTATTTTTATGTTATATTTATATTTACATTAATAATTTAAATATTTATTATTTATATAGCTAATGTACAGGCAAAATCAATTTCTATAAAATGTTAATTATGATTTACTAGTAAGAAAGTATCTAAAAAAGGGAATGTAAATAACTCTGATACTAAAGACGAAATTCTTATTAGTCATAAACAAAGTGCAAAGAAAAAGTCTAGAAAAAGCATTGTAGTTAATTCTGATACTGAAATGACAATAAGAAGAATGAGTTAACTTCAAGAATTAGTGAACTTTAATATAAAGAACAGATTCTAGCTTTAAAAAAGTGTGAAATTGATCTAAGAGAATGAGAGGCTAAAATCTATTTAATAGAACTATCAAATTTTGAGAAGGAGTATGAGTTAGAATTTGTTAAATCTTGAAAAATCAAATTTGATAAATATTCATTCGTTAAATGCTATAAATATGTGAAAGAAAATTTAATAAATAAAGCGTTTATGAATAGTTACAATATAAAAATTAAATTATCATATAACAATGAAAATAATCCTAAGTTAGTAATAGATTTACACATTTATTTGCTTCACAATATGTAAATCTTAGTACTTTTTATTTTTTTTTGTAAAAGAATTTATATATTTCAGTATGAATTTTAGCATTATATAAAAAAAATTTTTCAATTAATTTTAAAATTTTGCATTATAATACTAATAAAAAGCAATTATGTATTAAATAAAAAAATATACACTATAATAATATACATCACACAGTTTGAATATTTAATATATATATATAATTAATATTTAAACTGTGTGTTGTATATCAAACACTATTTATTTTTACATTATACACTACACAATTAGTCGATCCTACACCATAAGTTTCTATCTTATCGCAAAAACTGATATATCAAATTAAATAATTACACACTTGTTTATACAGATCACATGTTATTTAGTGTTGTCTCAAAATTAGAATTACTGCTCGCATTTAATTCTCTAAGTAATAAAGTGAGCACTGAAAAAATTAGCATATAAGTGTTAGTTATTTTCAGATAAAGCGAAAAATTTGCTAGAAAAGCAAATGAAATATATGATGCTACTAAAAAAAGAGTAGGTATGTGGAATTCTAAGCCAGTCTCAGTATCAAATTATTTCTTAACTCTCTTTTAACGCTTAATTTTTTCATTACAAATTAGATATAAGCAAATTATTTCTTATTGATAAGTAAATGCAAAATTTATATTTGAGAATGTATATATAAATAAAATATGCACGTTTAAAAAATTAGAAGTGAAATCTTT